GGGCAGCAGGACTCTTGTCAAATCGACCTGCTTATATTGTAACCCTGAAGAAATGCTGGGGAAATGCAATTTAAAAAATAAAAAATCTGCTAATCCAGAATTTATTTTCACAATGCTAGTAGAGGAAGAAAGCATTTCTTACTAAATAAGCATTAATGATGTACATCTCAGACAATAATTAGGAGATTGCTGAGAGAAGTAATTTCACCTTTCATATTGCTGAAGCAGATAAACCCCGTCACATACATGTTCCTCTGATAAATATTAATTCATTTCACCCTCAAGCAAGAATACTTGACAGTAACATTTATCATACACAGTTCATCCTTATAGCACCTGGCAACTAATATGACCATCTGTGTTAGCTAATTGGTTTTACACGGAGGAAATATAAACTTCCATATCTTTATGACCTGGGTAGTTGTACAACTTGGAGACTGTTATCAGGTAAAGTTAGGCTCTCAGCCTCCCTCAGAAATGAGAAGTATGCTGTCTTCCTTGGAGGTTTACACTCAAAGGAAAGTTGAACTCAGAACTTGAGAAACTTTCCTGGGTGATAAAACTGACAAAATTCCCTTCTAGTTTACAAAATGATTTATATCCTCTTTAAAGAGAGGAGACTATATTTACAATGAGAAACTTTGTAAAGAGAAAGGAGAGAGGGAAAATCTCTTCCCTAATTTTTAACAAGGAATATTAAATATTAAACCTCTTGTTTTTAATTTTTTTGTCCTTACATCTGGTGCCAAGGGGCAGCCCTGAAAACTAAGAGAGTCTGACTTTGAAGGAGGAAATAAAAATAAATATTTTGCTCATTTTTCTCCTCTAGGAACTCATTTGAATTTATTAGAGGTGAGGTGGGAGTTTGACAATTTTGAGATGCCTCCTTTAAAGTCATGCCAATAGATTTAGGGTGGATATTGTACTAGTGAGTTCTGCTAAAAGGGAGAGAAGTCAAAAGCTAAAGGACTTAAATTCCTCTATGTGTTAGATATTCAAGATAAACAAACAAAATGCTAAGGAAAGTGTTAACAACTATTTGAAACTCAGGTCTTTCAGACAGTACTTTTTTTTAGTGTGTGTGTGTGTGTTTGTGTTTACATCATTGTTCATTTTTGTACAATGTATTCTTGCATACTTTCTACTCTCAGGTATAGTCTCTATAAAATTCCCATTCCAATTCACCCCTGAACTATCATCATAGTCCCTTTGTGCTCTTCCCTCCCCTGTTTGATCCCTCTTCTCCCTCACATGCCCAGTATCTCTGATTTATAGTTGTCTGATAATTGCTTTATTTATTATTAGTTTTGTTATAATTTTTTCCCCTAAAGCCTTATTTGGCTCCCCTATATTCCCATATTAAGTGAAAACATCTGATATTTTTATTTTTCTTTCTGGCTTCTTGTACTGAACATAATCCCTTCTAGCTCTAGCCATGTTGCTGTGAATGGAAAGAGTTTATCTTTTTTGACCACTGAGTAATATTCCATTGTCTATATGTACCACATCTTCTTGATTCAGTCATCTGTTTTTGGGCATTTGTGTTGTTTCCTTATCTTACCTACTGTAAATAGTGCTGCAGTAAGCTTAGGGGTGCAGGCATCCTTTTGAGTGAATATTTTTTGTGTTCTTTAGGTAGATTCCTAGGAGTGGAATTAGTGAGCAATGTAGTAGCTTCATTTTTAGTAGTTTGAGGACCCTCCACACAGCCTCCCACAATGGGTGGACCATCTGCATTGGCACCAGCTGTTGGATGCCATATTCTTGCCGACATTTGTTGTTTCCTGTTTTTTGGATATGTGCCATTCTCACTGGTGTAAGATGATATCTCATTGTGGTTTTGATTGGCATTTTTCTGAATACAATTGAAATGTTTTTGGCCCTGAATTCAACATTGTGTCTTTGCTCAGGAGCCTTTGCTTTATCTCCACATTCTCTGTTATGATGCCTTCCTAGGACCTTGTTACTAAACGTTTAATAGCTTCAGGCTTATGAATAATTATTTCTTTTTAAAAAAGATTTATTTCTTTTTGCATACAAGAACTAGGATATAGGCCAGAGGTGCCAGTGGTGAGAGGCTTCACCAGAGACAAAGTGAGGAACAGAACAGGCAGACTGACTGAAGTACACTGCTGAGGGGATCAGTGGGTGGGTCAGGAGAGGTATGCCCGCCATGTGGGTCAGCTCCCTGGTCGGGGATTGAACTAGTTCTGAAATGGCTGCAGCTAGCTTTGCAGTGTTGCGTTTTAACCCATTGCACCATTGGGGAGGTAATTCTTACACTAGATCTTGTGTTTTTATTACAATCTATTAGTTATATCAATGTAGAAAATACATTAAAATTGTTTCAGGAAAAATAAATGTGAAACAATTAATATGATGTACATTTTCTGGAAATAGCATTCTGTTCTGGAAGCATGAAGTCTGCTTTCCTATTTACAAGAACATCTATGTAGATCATTTTGCTTTCATTTGGCAGAAAAGAGTATGCGGAGTTGGTTTTGTATTAAAAGGAAATGCAAAATCACTTTACACAGCACATTCTTTTAAAGAAAAAAAAATGCTTGCTGTAATAATGGATTAAAGTTTCATAACACTCCATCACTTATTACCCAAAGTTAATTCTAAAGAAAAAAAAAAAACTAGCAATAGGCTCCCTTTAAAATTTTGATTTACTTTTCTTATTTATGTTTTCTTGTTTCTAAAATAAGTAAGTTATTCAATTGGAAATATGATACATCCCTGAGCCTTAATTGCCAGGGTGCTAAGCTGATAATAAGAATTTTTTGTTTATTAGTGACCTTCATCTTTTTTCACTGTCAGCCCTTGTTCTTCCCAGGTTATTTAGCTCTTGCCTCTATTGATATTGGGAAAGAAAAGTAAAAATGTTGAAATGTTTGAAACAATGATTCTTCCTGTCATAGCATAATGCATCCTTTCAGACTAGCTGTTGAGTGCAGGTGCCAAATGTGACATTGATCTGCCAGAGAGTTCAGGCAGACCTGAGAAATTGTGCTGAGTTGGCCAGTGTTGTGTCAGAGGATGTCCTGCTGATTCTTCTTTATCTGATTTAATTATTCATGTAATTATAAAATCTCATATTACAATGAGTATTTAAAGGTTCTTCTTTAATGTTATAGTCCTGTCTACAAGTATTTCCTCATACCTCTTGTATTTAAATGCTTCTGGTGACACTTGATGAGAACAAAAGAATATAGAAACCACAAAAACACATAGGAAATACTGAATCAACTAAGGTTTAATTTCACATGCTGTGACCTTGGCATGATATTTAGTCATTTTGAGCCTCAATTTCATTCTACATGAAAGAGATCAAGGGATACCACTCAAGATCTCTTTTTAGTCATATAAAGTACTTCACATATAAAATATCCAGCCTTTCATAAATGTTAGCCAAGTGATGATGACTTCCTTAAACCTCTAGTTGTCTTAACTACCAGATGTTGGTGCTGTCAGGGAAATCAAATAAGTGGTAGTTATTATTGTTACAAGGAAAGGTAAGTTAATCATTTCTTCCTTTCCTTCTGAAGTTTTAGAGAACCCAAGATGCAACTCACTTATTTCTTGACTGCTGATATTCTATGACCAGAACAAATCAGTGGAACTATGCTTATTTTAGTAGCTTGTTCCCTACCTCAATTCTTCTAACCTAGCAAATGCAGTTTCTCCTAAGTCATACAGAACATAGTCATATTTCTCAGTCCTTTTTGGCCCTTGGCCTTGCCATGCTCACTGGTGCAGGCTGCTTTCTGACCCCTTGCTCACATCCCATCTTCCACTTGCGTCCGGCTCTGAGCCACAGCTCTCTGAGACTACTGCTTCTCACCCTTGACCTGAGCCAGCACATGCAGAGAAAGTTGCCTGCATGACGGCAACTGATCTTCATTCTCGACCAGCCATTTACCAACATGAGTGGCTATCAAGTTATCCCCATTTCCTTCCATTTGAATATTCTGTTACATTATCTGAGTAATGTTTTAGAACTCAGTTTTTCTTTTGGCCACATCTCTTTTCTTCCTTGACTTTGGTAATATCTTTTTTTTTTTCTTAAAGATTTATTTATTTATGCATACAGAAATGGGGTACAGGCCAAAGGAGCAGGGGTGGTGAGAGGATTCACCAGAGACAGAGTGGGGAGTAGAACAGGCTGACTGACTAAGTACACTGCTGAGGGGAGCAGCGGATGGGTCAGGAGAGGTCTGCCACACCATGTGGTCACCTCCGGGGCAGGCGGGGATCAAACTCATGCGGAAGCAGCTTTAGATTCTCAGTGCTGTGCTTTAACCCGCTGCGCCACCAGGGAGGGCCCAACTTTGGTAATATCTTAATACCATCTCTACAGGGTACATTTATTCCAGACAATCTCACCCGACCAACTGGGAATACCTAGAGACTGGGTAGTTATATAAATGATTAGAATTGCTCCCCTCCTACATATCTACAGTATGAAACCAATCAAATTAATATATGAAAAGAAAGGTAAGGGTTTCATTTGCCTTGTCTGGCTTTGGTAATGTTTTATTTTGCAAAAGATGGGACTTAATCTAATCTTGGATAAGTTTACCACATTGTTTTAGAGGTTACATTTTAGAGACTGATGCAGTTAATGCTAAAGGAAGGGGAGAGCAAGATGTAGGTGCTGGGAAGGCGAGGAGCTGTGGGGTGAGAGAGGTCAGTGCTGCTCTTTAGGCTTCACCAGCCCCTCAGATCCATCACAGCCTTTACAGAGGCTTGACTGCTCTGTTGAGTTCTTAGGAGGTCAGAGTAGAATGTGAGGGTACAGATGTGTGTCTTTATTGTGCCATTAACTTTATAGCAAGAAAACAGCCACTGAGGGGAAAACTATATACACACACAAATCCTACTATATACCTTTTTTTTTCTATGAAATGATATGACCAAATTATGTATAAGTTTAGGGGTACATATTTACAAATTTATCTCTATCAATCTGACAACTATCTTCTTTTATTTTGCAGCAATGAAGTTGGAGCAGAAACTGAAAACACAGGCTGTGCTGAAGATTTTTGGTGTGCCAGTGCTAATCATTTGCTAGATTTAATTTTAACTTTGTTCAGTCTCAAAATTCTCTTTATGAACTGCACTTTAGCAGGAAGCTAAAAAAAAGTATCCTACAAGCATATTACGTGGAAATTCTCTGTTAACCCCCAGCCTAGGAAAGATTTACCTATAGCATTTTGCACCACTGTTACTACCTTTAATGCCTTCTATTAAGCTGAAAGCAATACTAATGTGCCCCTATATTTAGCAGCCAAATAAAGAAGATTCATGAGTAAATAGATGAGTGGCTGTGACTGTTTTTCAACACTATTTTTATTTAATGCATATATAAGTTACTGAATCAGGGTTTATGCCTTTTCTTTTTGCATGTTAAAGAGCAAGTTAAAAAAAAAAAGAGTCCCTGCCCCCTCCCCTTTTTTTATTCAGAGAATGCTAATATTCAAGGTTTCATTGGGGGAGCTCTTGAACAAAGAAAAGTTGATATTTCATGTAACAATACTGTTTTCCTGTCCTGGTGGGGTTCTGTGCAGCCAGGGAGGACTTTGCACCAGAAGGGGCAGCTGGGTGATGTTGAACATTGGATCACGACAATGTCTCTGACATCACTATCTCTTTGTCCATTTCTACGTGATTCCTGTGAAGGTTCTTTGCAGTTAGTTTTTACTCATAATCTTGGCAGTAGCAAGGACTGTAGAGCAAATCCACACTGTATTTATGATCTTGGCTCTCCCACATGCACACCCCAGTATCGCCATATTGGTCATGTTCAGTTTCCCAGCTGTCATCCCACTAGTCTGTCCTAGTCTCCTCTGAGTGGTTTCCCTCTTACAGCTTTCTGCCCAGCTGGGGAGTCTAGACAATATACACGAAGGCAGAATCCACAGCAGTTCAAGAAAGTGAGCTCCTGGTAGCTGTCTGCAGTTGACAGTTACCACTGGATGTAGTACATTCACTTGAAGTCAGCTCTGTGTGAGCCAGAACTCCTTCAGACCATTGCTTCACACCCCTCACACTCTCCAGGGCAAAGTGAAGAGAATTTCCTGCAGAAGGAGTGCTTTCCACTTTCATTCTCCACCTTCCATTTTGCTTGCTCCTCTGTCAGTTATCACTTGGTGCTTGGAAATACAAAGTTCTCATCATTTCATCTGTCAGTGGTGAGGAGCAGTGGAAACTCCTCCAAACAAAAGCTACTTCTCCGTCAAATTGTGTGAGGCACCACTCTAGATCGATGGTAGTAATCTCTAGTATTCACTGTGCTCTTATGATGTGTCAGGTATCACACCAGGGGCTTCACGTGAATTTAACTTAAGCTTCACAATGAACTATGAGGTAGGTGATATTCTTATCCATATTTGCTTTCTGTGAGAGCATACTCTAAAATGTAAGGTGGTAAATAATACAGGCAAATGGATTCTAAAAACAACCTATTATTCAATCATTTCTCTAAACATTCATTCATTATTTATTTATTTATTTTTACGTTGGCTATAAGAAAGTGAGTTGATCTTACTACCCAGATTGATAGCAATCATAAGCTGGGCAAGGACCCTCTGTGCATATTTTATAATTGTACCATTGATTGTCTTTTATAACTGTTTCTGTGCTATGGGCACACATTCTTATAGCCTTTGCTAAAACATGTTTGGAAGACATGCCCTGTTTTTGTCCACATATGTATTTAATGATGATAAATGGTACTGATATATTACTATTTTTTTTCCCACTCAGCAATATTTTCTAATTTGTGTCCACACTGCTCTGTAATAGCATCAAGGGTTGTTTCTCCACAGCCACATGGTAGCCCACCACATTTCCCCCACCTACCTGCTCCTCAGTGGTCTCACATAACCTCTCTCTTCCAGGAATGGTCGTGATGAACATCTTGCATAGACTCCCTTGGGGGCCTTTGGGAGAATTTTCTTGGAACATTTATCCAGGGCTAGAATTGTTTAAGCACAAGTATGCATGCATTTAATGTTACACTAATTCATCTAGCTGGCTGCTCTCTTAGGAAGAAAAACCCATTTTTATCCTTGTCTGCCATGCATGAGGCCTTTTATAGCCTCAAATTCTTCTCTACCTTTGAAGGTCAGAGTTTTGAAACATCAGGCTATGTTAGGGACTTTCTACCTGATAATTCACTGCAGGATTTTGTCAGTTGGGTATTTTGTCTTCATATCACCAAAGGATTATTTGACAGAAATGAAAAAGCAAGAATACTAAATCTAGCACAAAGAATTTTGATTTCTCTCACCCTTTTCATTAAAAAAAAAAGAAAAACATTACAAAGACCATTCATAGCAAATATTTTTCTGCAAAAATTTGACTAGATTTGTACTTACAATTTTCTTTTGCAGCGCTAAACACTAACAAAAATACTAACTTCTTGAGAAAACATTTTTTGGTATTGATGGAAGTTAACAGGAAATACTGATTTTTTTTTATTTTAAAAAGTGACTGTTTCCCAACCAGTGGAGGCAGTTCTTTTTCTTCATACTCTGACATTTTCTATCTTAGAACATTGTATTAATTGAAAATTTAGATGTTAATCTTGCAGAACTTTATAGATAATGCAGTGTGGTATTTCTCAGGTTTTGAGATATAATCCAGTTGGAGGTTGACTAACTTGTTTATTATGCCAATATTTTCTTAACAAATTAAATGTAATAGACTAGATACTGTCAGAATATTTGGTATATTGGTAAATAAAACTTTTGTTGCTTGGGCAAAACTTGCACTAATACATTGCTTTTCTAACTAGAGTGTAGCCACTTGGTTCAAGGATTTTTCCCTGAAGATCAGATTAAGTATACATAAAATTTCCATTCCAAAAATTTAATGCTGGATGAAGTAGATTTTGAAGAATATGTGGCAGACAATGCTGTGAAATTTCTTAAACTGTTTCCTACACTGTTATAAAAACATTTGATGGGTTCAACAGAATTTGGTATGTATGCCACCCAAAACTCCAGATTTTGTAAATGATTATAATCTGAGGCACTAATCTAAGGGATTAATTTTCCATTTTTTTTTTACACAAAACTAATGATATTTTCCTTTGAGAGAAAAGTTAAGATTTGTTTTCCTCCAAGTTTCTAGTCCTATCGTTGATCACAGATTTTAGTAGCACAAAAAGAACTGCTCTGTAAACAGAAATTTACTACTATAATAATATTTATTCCAGGAGCTACCTGGGTCAGTGGAGTTTTACAGTATCACATCTTTAGTGTTTCTAAAATTGAAAATTACCTTTCTGTTTTATCTTTCCCCAGTACACACCCTCTTAATTTAATATAAGGTAATAAAAAGACCAGTGAAATGTCAATTAACACTATATTTACTCTTGGTAGTAAATTACTCTTGGCAGTAACGTGTGTTTTAAATGGATAATATTTAACGTTTTAAACTTGTGTAGCAAATGACTGTCTTTGATAGACACAAATACACACATGCACACAATTACCCCTAAGACAGTAGTTATTGCAATCATGAATATCGGGAGGACACGTTCTTGCCAGAAAGAAACTGGAACAATCTGAGGTAAGAACTTTCAAGATAAACTAGTCGGAACTTCTGGGGACTTGTCATTTTCACCTGAAAAATGTGTTAAAAAAGGTTTTCTTTGCATCATTTCCTTCCAATTAAAAGATATTTGCAATTTATTATTGCATTTTGGAAATATTTGACACTACATTCTGAAATTGAGAAACAATATGATTTTGAAACAAGTATTTCTGTTTCAAAACAATGGACCTTTGCTAGACCTCTTTATTTCTTTTAGAACAACCAAGACAACTTGTATTCCAATCAGGCAAGGTTGCTTTTTAGGAATCATTTTCTAGTCCCTTCCAATAGTTACTGAAACAGAATGCATGAAGTAAGGCCCAGAAGCCTCCTTTTTAAATAATGTCTTACTTCAAGTTGCATACAAACTTTGGGGAAGTACAGATCCTTAGATCAGGATGAGAGGTAAGCTGGAAAAGTGATGCCTTATGTGGTTGAGAACAACATGTTTATTTTACAGGTAAATGGAGGGAATAAGAGAGAATTCATTTGTATATGTGTAAGAATTGGGGTGTAGGCCAGAAGTGCAGGGGGTGAGTGGGTTTACCTGCGACAAAGTTGGGAGCAGAACAGTCAGATTTACTGAAGTCCACTGCTGAGGGGAGCAGTTGGTGAGACAGGAGAGTTCTGATGACGTATCACGTGGATTAACTCCCTGGCTGGGGATAGAATTCAAACCTTAGCAGTGATTGTGCTCAGACTTAATCCCTGAGCCACCAGGAAGGCACAAAAGAGAACACATATTAACTTTTTATATCAAACAATGTGGAAAATATAATTAAAGTAAATATAGTTATTGCAAGTGTATGAAAGGAATAATAACTAATCTAGAACTGGCAATACTGAGTTTCACAGAAGAGGAAAGGATTCACATTGTTTTGGTTGTAAATATAATTTAGAATGGCACTCAAGTCAAATATACAGGAAATAAAATGGGAATGATTGAAAGCACAGTTTATATTTTATTTTTTGTTTTCCTTCCATATGTCAATTGAGATTAAAGAGCCCTGAAAATTCCAAGACCAGAGTCAGATTACCAACATATGTTACTTCATTTTGATGCCAAGATAAGGTGGACATTATTACTCCAATAATAATGAAAAGTAAGCTGAAACTAAGCTGAATTCTCGAGTATTTATATTTTTAAATTATGAGGTTAGGATGTGGCAGGACTGGAATTGATTTTGGTCATTTTTGTTCCAAAGTTCTTTACTCTTTATAAGCGTTTTTCTACTTCTTTTCTCTCCCATGTTCCAACTACATAATACTCCCTTGGGAAACACATTCCCTTCTGTAAGGTACATCACCAAGAGTTAGGAAATAGAGAGCAGAACAGCTTTGGCTGAAAAACTTTCAAGGTTTACTTTTCAGATTAATAGCTCAAGTCTCACTTGGCCTATAAACAGGAAATCTGAAGGACCACAACTTGATACTGGGCTCTGTATTCCATCAGTCTTACAGGTACCACGTTGCTTGAGCAATCATTCCCAAATGAACAAAATGTTCTTTAAGGCAACTTTTTTTCTTAAAAGATGGAAAAGTGCTAATGCATTTTTTGTTGTTTTTAAAGATTCTTCTTCACTTAGCATTCCATCATAAAGATTTAGAAATTACGTGCATTTCAGTGCTATGCCAACAGTCTTTCTTTTAGAGAGCTTTACCACTATAATGTTGAAAATTGCTCCTATACCTTGTTGTTTGCTGAA